TATATATATATATATATATATATATATATATATATATATATTGACGTAAACATTTTTCTGAAAAGAAAATTAAATCCAATACTATAGCACAGCGCAGGTATGACAAACGCTCACAATCAGCTATCTCTGCTGTTATTCAAACGGACGAAAAATCTAGCCATGATCTCTACCAGCACTAGATGCAAGAAATGAAACAAGTTATACAACATTTGTAACCCGATATTTAATTTTATATTATTTTTTCAATACTATAGATACCTACTATCGATAATTTTTTTCGTAAATATATTGTTAAAAAATAATATATAACAATATATTTTACAGCTTTCTATCTTCTCATTTGACAAGTAAAAAAATATATTCTCAGATAAAATCCAGGTCAATTAAAACTCACGTTATACTCTAACAATGTGAAAAAAAAAAAAAAAAAAAAAAGAATAAATAAATAAAATAAAAACAAGAAACGCCGCTGGCAAATAAACTTTGATACGATGTATTCAAACTTTGTACGGCCTTGGGCATTTTTTACCCAATAATGTTTTTTTTTTTGTTTTTTAATTCTAATGCTTACTTCAGTTAGCCGGTTAAAAAATGTTTAAAATGTTGATTGAAATAACAAAAAGGGCATCAAATCAAAGGATAAGTTTTTTCTATCGATTAAAAAAATAAAATACAATTACAAATGCTGCTTTAACTTTGAAAATAATAAAAGGCTGCACATAGTTGTTTAAATATTTGATAAAATTAAATTTTTATATTTTTACAAAAATGGATGATAAAGTTTGCGATTAAAGTAAAGAGTTCTAAAACATTTAATCCAGGATAAGAAAAAAAATTTTTTTAAATATAAACGATGAAGAAAAAGTATGAAAAGAAAAAGATAAAAAGGTGATGAACACCTAAAGGTATTATCCTAATGTCAATATGATAATGATTTGCTTGTTCGTAACGTATAGTGGTATGTATACAATCATAGAGATGAAAGGGATAAAGAATAATCGACTCCGCCTGAATAGAAGGAAAAAACGTAGTAGCACGCATCGACAACCGGGACACGCTTTAGATGCGGTACTTGTAGAATTTTTATTATAAGTTACTTTCCTTTTGAACTGAGATAGAAAAATTTTACAGAAGCGAAAAATTTCTCGAAAATACAGAAAAACGATTCGAAAATCTCAAGGAAAGTAAAAAAATATAAATAGTTGAGTAGAACACAAAGTGTATTATATAAAGGATGGAAAAAAAAAATAATAATAATAATAAAATAAAGACCCCGAAGTGAAAAAGAAATAAAGTTTTCTTATTCAACGATGACGATGTAATGAACGATGAAAATGTTGACCCTCTATCCCATAACCTATAGTAAGGTATGCTATATATATGTACGAACGAAAAAAAGGTGATGATGGTTGTGTGACTTATAAATTTTATTTGAATTGCTCAACGTTAAATTATTCTTACTAAATAAATATTCATTTTATTTTAAATAATATTGAAAAATATACATCATAATGATTATGATTATGAAAGACGTGAATATTTAAAAAACATGAGTAAAGTTAAATTTACATATTCATTTTACAAGCCTTTTTTCGCTATTATCGGAATTATTTTTCCTCCTTCCTTTGAACCGAAAAAAAAAAAATTATATTAAATATACTGAGAAAACAATTACTAGTTTATTATATTGAGTTTAATTTACACATATTTATTGTTCAATTTAAATATAAAAACTACTAAAATTGTAATCGAGGGTAATATATATATTAAATAAGATAATTCTAATCATAATAATAACAACAGTCATTATGAGTATTATCATTATTGTTATTATTATTGTACATAAAGTGTAAAAGCGTGTGGTATTAATTTAGTAAAATCGAGTTTCTTAATTGGAATTAAACACCATACCACACAGCTGTCTCTTCCTTATATATATATATATATATATATATATATATATATACATAGACTTTAAGAATAGTACCGCAAACTGAATAATTTAACAAGTTATATACAAAAGTATTATTTATCTCTGTATTTGTGTATTATATTGTTATTATTATTATTTTAATATATACAATATACTCGTCTGAATTGGTATATAGGTATATTAAGTTGTGAATAAAACCCTCTGTCGTTTCAGATTTTAAACCGAGCAGTAGTCGACTTGAATGTTTCATTTTGCTTCCATTTATAAAATATATATATATATATATATATACATATATTATTTTCTTTTTTATTTTGTTGTTATAAATGTATACGAAAACTATAATTTATTATTTAAACAATAAATTTAAGTGATTAAATATTGTCGGATGAAATTTTTAGTGTAAATATCCAAAATCAAAGGATAAAATAAGAGTAATGTGTGAATATAAAAGTTTAACAAAGTTACCAACCACGGTATTATATCAGATTGGGTATATAGTTGTATTACTCTCTTACTCAAGTTGAAATAAAAAGGTTTTTGAGGCAAGAACAACAAAAGCTTTTGTATTGGAGTACAATATTGTTAAAACTACAATAGATAAAGAGGTTTTTTTTTCTCTCTTTTTTTACTATTTTATATTGATTTTATTGACTTAAAAATATTTAAAATAGTTAGACATATATCAGTAAAGATATTAATTAAATTGATATAACTTAAACTTGTCCTATGCATTAGATAAATTGTGTATAACTTATAGGATAAAAAAAAAAAGAAAAAAAAAACAAATCATTTTGACATGAATAATTATAGAGATATTATAAGATAATAAAAAATTTGAATGAGGGTGAGATAGTTTTTACAAGAGAATAAAAAAGCTCTTGATTCGCATTTAATTTATTTCTTCTTCTTCGTCATCTTCTTTTTCTTCTCCTTGAAAAGTTTCTGCTGAAGAAAATCGCTCGTTAATCCCGTTAGAATAGACAATGATGGACGAACACAATGGAGTTGAAGTTTTAATCTTAATGAGAAAATAAAGAGGCCCTCTATCCTCTATCCTCTCTGTATTATAAATGTATATTTATTGTATTATTAAGTAATAATACATAAAATTACGATAACTTTTATCTTATAATAGGTATACTATTTAAAAATTTTGACATTTGTAAAATTTCCATTACTCACGGCAGCACAAAACTTTTAGATTATATTATTATATAGGTAACTATATAAAATAATTCAAAGATTATTGTAGTGTAAATTTCGTTTCAGAATTCCATTTTACTTCTACTGAATGAGTCTGTAATAATAATAATAATTTTATAATGATAGAATAAATGAAATATTTATCATTATTATTTTAAATAATTACAGATTTATCAACAAAGGAGGTAGTAGTTGAAATATCAGTATCAACTATTACATCAACTCCTTCAACTCAATCTACTCCATCAACTAAACCTTTAAAAACAACAAAAGCAACAACTGTAAAACGATCGATGCCAACAGACTCACCAATGTTGAACTACATATTTGATATTCACAGCACGCTAAATAAACATCAGCATCACCGAGATAATCGTTGGGGTCCTCACTTTGAGGGTGAAAGCCAGAATGTAACTGCTCAAGCTGGTGCAACGGTCATTTTAGACTGTAAAATATCTCTACTCCAAGGCAAAACTGTTCGTATTATTATTATTATTATTATCATTTTTATACATATGTAGATGCAAATACGCAATATTTTGATTATTTTATAGTAGTGAAAATAATAAACAATACATCAAGGATAAAAATCAACCAGACTAAATATTAAACAAGCTGATCCATTAAACATTAAATACGCTTATTCATATATATATATATATATATATATATATATACTTACAATGTAAATCAGCTAGAACTACAACTATTGTTCTTTGTTCATTGGATAATGTCGTGGATCGTTAGCTTTCCTCTCTACTCTTCACCTCACCTCTTATATGTACCTCACACACCAGTGGTTGTTGTTGTTGTTGTAGTTACCACTAGTTACGTATATATATGTATGCATGTATATATCTATCTTATAATATAAATGCACATGCAACTAGGCGTTGGTATTTTCGGGTGTCGAATGAACCTCCATAACTAACAGAGCATAAAACAATTCACTGCTATATGTACATGGCATATATTGTTCATCAGATAGACGCATTGTAAATACTAGTAGATAGTAGTAGTAAATAGTAGTTACCATCACTCGAATAAATAGTCATGCCATTGATGAGATTATACAGTTAAACTATACCTACTCATTCGTATGTCTCTTGTCTTTTGTCTCTTGTGCATGTCTATAGTAGTAAATTGCACCAATCAACTAGATTATCGCCAATTCAACTTTATTTAACAATTCTATTGCGCTTTAGGTATATAATAAAATATAAACAATGTTGTTTTTTTTTTTTTGTTTTGTTTTTATTTATTATTTACAGGTTTCATGGATAAAGAGACACGATGACGGTGAAAAGATGACACTATTGACATATGGTCAGCAAACGTATACTGGTGACACCCGTTACTCTGTTGAGTTTCAGTATCCAGACAACTGGCGATTAAAAATTTTAAATGTCAATAGTAGTGACGAAGGCCAATACGAGTGTCAAATAAGCACTCATCCACCAATGACCATTTATATCAATCTACATATTAATGGTAATACTTAATATTATTTTTATTTCTCTAATAACTTTTAGTAAATTGTATTTTTTTTTTTTTTTTCTTTTCTCCAAACATATCTTTCCAAACATCCACTAAATTAATCACTAAGTTTATAAACTTTTTGGTATCTTGATGAAACTTTATTAACCTTTAATTAATCTTCTCTTAAAATCTATATATTCCCGAGATATATTATATTTTTATTAAAATCTTTACAAACTTAATTATAATTATTGAAAATTTTTTTAAAAAAACTAATTAAGAAAAGCTTTAGAATTTAAAAGTTCCAATTAAATTAATGAATATTTGTTTAATTGTTTTTTTTTTTTATAATTAATTGTTAATTGTCTTTCAATAAGTTCTCCTCTTTATTTACCACAAGCAGCACACAGTATAGAATTGCGAAATTACTTGGTAGTTAAATAATAGTAACGTAAAATAGGAAAAGGATAAAATACTTATATATCGGGAAACGTGATAAATGTAAGGATTTGAAAGTTGATTCCATTGAGTGGTCCGATGGGATTGCATTAGACTCGACGATTTTGATACTATACCAACAAATATCCTCCATCTATATCGATCTTATCACCAGACATTTTACGATCTATCAAGATAATAAATAAAATTTTATATAAAATCAACATTTATTTTCAATCGTAAATTTAGATTTAAAAAATTTTATAGATTTTTATCTCAGAATTAAAAATTTATTTATACAAACCGTTATCATCGTTATTGAAAAAAATGTGTGTGTGTGTGTGTTTTTTTTTCTATATATTTATATTGTATATACAATAGAGTAATAACTATAGTTAGCTCATACAAATGAGAAAATGTACCATGCAGTCGGTTAATTTTACCCACGAGATAAAATAAATAACAAAAAACATATATATTTTTCTGTTTAATATTTACCGTAATATTCTTTAAACAATAATGAAAATAAATAAAAAAGTATATCTAAAAAAATAGGCACCGTTACCAATTTTCATATTTATACAATAAAAAAATAAAAAAATAGAAAACGAAGAAAAAAAATGTTAACATTGTGTAGTTGTATTAAAATTGAGAGAAACGAGGATAAAATAGAGAAAAAGCAATAAAGAAAAATTGGCGGGATAGAACAAACGGGAAGAATGTGAGAAGCTTCCATAATTGCAGGCTGCGGTGAGTAAAGACGAGTCTCTGAGAAATTACGCGAATACGAAGCTTCCAACGAGAAATTATGCCTCGTAACGAGAGTTGAATAATAAAGAGGCATATATTAAAAAATTTTGAATTATTAAGAGTTTTTAAATATATACATATACTTTGACATACTAAATGAGATATAAAATAAAACACCAGTGAATAATAATTAAGTTAACCTTTTAAATGAAGCAATTAAAAATCTTTGATATTTTACAAGCAAGAAAATTTAAATACATACCGTAAGAAAAAAAAAAATTATTTTTTTAATTAATTAGGTTAATTTTTCTTTTTTTCTTTATAAATTAATAACTTGAAATATTTATATTAACAATTATATATATTAGAGTAATGGATAAATTTGTAATAAATGTTTTAATTAATGGAATGTACATTAATGTTGTTTAAAGTTGTTTAGTGCTGCACTAAGTAACATCTCCCGAGAGAGTAACATGAATAATTAAATTAACATGAAATTTAGTAAGTAATTGAAACTTACGTAAGTTGTTATCAAGAAAACTTAATTATTCATGCTCAATGAAATGCAAGATGCTAGATCAAGTCTGATATATACTATTTTTTTTTCTTTTATTTTTATTTTATTTCCTATAATAATATAAATGTAATAATGAAATAGTTTTTATGTCATTTGTTTAATGATATACCAAGTACCAACGTAACGAGCATGCTGCATATGCAAGCTGCTACGCAAGCTTTAGGTAAAACATACCTGATCCGTTTCTATAAGCTACAACAGCACCGGTGAGTCGCTGAGTCGACATTTCAACATATGTGTATGTGTATATATAGATGCTAACGCAAGCATTTAACTTATTCCCTTTCTTTATATTAGATCCATTATATTTTTCATTTAATATTATTATAATTTATTTCCGTATTTATAGTGAATATCAGTATTGTAATTGCAAATCTTGGAGTAAGGGGAGGGCAACCTTGAATTTTATTTGAATATATGTTTATGCCGTTAACAGGATAAAAAATAAAATAAAAATGATAAAAAAAAAAAAAAAAAATGAATAAGATATTTATGGAGTATATTGAGAGCAGGAGAAAAGGATAGGTGGGATGTAGTTAAGGAATCCGAAGGATCTGAATGCATTTGATGAGACTCTTGAATCAAGTACCACTACTATATATATATATATATATATATAAGTTAACTCGAACGATCGAAAGAAATAATAGAGATAAGAAGGCAAGATCTCGAGCGACAGTTTATACATATTTATGACTCGTTGTTGTTCTATATATATATATTAACTTTAACGGAATTCCTAAAATAATTCTACGGATTAACGAAAATAATCCCCAAGTTTATATAATATATATTAGGATTTTACCAATTGATGAAAATAAAAATATAGTTGATTATTATTATTATTATTATTATTATTATATATAGAGGTAGATAACAACAAAAGTAGGATCAATAGATTGAAGAAAAGGAAAACCCTTACCTGTCGACGAGGTTGCTCGTGATCGTCTATACTGAGATAAAAGTACTGCTCCTCCATTGAGGTCAAATAACAACGACTAGGGATAGGAATATCTTTTTTTTTTTTTTTTTTTTTTTTTTTTTTTTTTTTTTCTTTACGGCTTCTTCGAGAAAAGCTCGGAGACAAAACTTTTTCACGAGTCGGCTAGAGCTAGCAAAACTTTATGCACCTGTGACTGGGATAGACGCCGGATCACCGGATCCTTTGGGAGTGTGAGGAAATAAAAAAATGAAAAAAATGTAAAAGAAAAAAAAAATTGGAATATAAAAAAGGAGCAACCAAAAGAAGATACTTTTGACGAAGGATAGTACACATCAGGATCGCATGTTGATCCAGAGTCAGAGTCAGAGGCTGAATCCCGGTCACAGCTTTATATTTATTTGATCCTTTTTTTCATTTTTTTCGTTCCTTTATTCTCTTTCTCAAGGGAGATGAATTTCCTTGAGAATTTCACCTCAGCAATGTTTTATGTTTGATCTCTTTTGAATGTTTCTAAATTTATTCTATTCAATTTTTCCGAGATCTAAATATGTATAACGTATTGCTACTATCAGTGAGGAGATATCGTTGTGATAAAATCAAAACTCTGAAAACCAAAATAAGATATATATATATATATATATATATATATATTTATATTAAAATGAAAATATTTATAAATTGAATTAATTTTATTTAAGCACCTTCAGTCCAAATAGTAGATGCTTTGGGTGACCAATTGAGAGACAAATACTATGAGGCTGACAGTACGATTGAATTATTGTGTGTTGTACGACACATGGCAATGCAAGTTCAGTACAGCGTGGTACAATGGCTCCATGGGAACCGTATCTTAAACTACGACACTACCAGAGGTGGTATTAGGTGAGCTTCATAATTATAATATAATTATAATTTATTTTAAAAGGTTAAACTATTTTGCATTTTCCCCATTCTAAATAATCTTATACTGAAACAAAAGTTAAAATCATAATAATCATAATAACAAAGTTTTTAATAAGTATTTAAGTCGCAGGGGGTTAATGGTCAATAGTTAATGATTAATAGTTAATAGTTAACGAGTTGGCTTTCAGCAAACAAAAGTAAACTCTGATGGTATATATAATATAATTATTATTAGTTGAATAAGGTTTTACTTGAATGATTCTCTAAAAATTTAAGTACTGGGTACTGGGTATATACTACTTAATAATAACTTTACTACTGCTATCCAGTACAGAACAACTTGAACCCTCGTTGACCTTATTTAGTGATCGTCTTGAGTTGCTTTTTCTATAATAACAACAACTTTAATTTTTAAAACTTAATATTATTATCTCAATTTATAATTATATATATATATATATATATTATACGGTTAAAGTTGAATAATGAAAATAAACATACATTCAAGATAAGTAATAGATAGTTTGAATAAAATTTCCGTAATTAAAGCGTCTTTTAGTATATATATAAAATGGTGAAAATAAAACTAAGAGAGAAAATTAAAAGAAATATAAAAAAAAAAAAAAATAATCGACGACAAATCTTATCAACAAGAAAGATTGCCCCTTTGCCCCTTTGCCCCTTTGTCCCTTTTTCCTCTTTTCCACGACTAATTTACTTAATGAGCCAACTTAAAGGCTTCTCCCCATCGGATTGTCTTAAAGTTTAAGAAACTTTCTTTGGTTTTATTTTAAATACCTTAAAAACAAATTTAACTACATTTATTTACTCAAATAGAATTTTATTTTTCTTTAATTAGCATTTTACAATTTCAAATTACTAATTGCTCTTAATATTTTTATTGTAAATATATATGTAAATTAAAATTATAAATTGTAATTTTGAAAGCATTCACTGATATATAATACATGTATATATATATATATATGAGAGATGAGAGATGAGATGTGATAGAAATATACGTACATGCAGACGGAAATGGTTCGTTACCGTACTCACTCAGTAAACTATGTTGATCAAATTATCAGTTAGTTCAATAAACATACACAAGCTCTCAAATAGATATTTCGGTAAACCCAAAACGAAAGAGTAATAAAGTACAATTCAATATTTTTAAATATTATTTATAAATAATAAATCGATAAATTTTTTCAATTACATATTGTTAAAAAAAAAAAATAATCCAAAGTAGTTAGGCTTAAAATAATAAATAATTTATCAAAAATATATTTCTGTATGTTCTGTCAGTGTAAAAACAGATTTGATGGACGTTGGAGCAAATTCAACTCTGAGTATAGCCAAAGTGGGACCAGCCGACAGCGGTAATTATACCTGTGTATTAACTACAATGCCCGATCAACCAGCAACTGTTCATGTTCACGTACTTAACGGTGAATTTAATATTATTATCATTATTATTATTACTGCAAAAATAATTTATTCCATTAACTGTACGCAGCTTTTAGTATTTTCATTTGTAACAATGAAATAAATTTTTGAGTAAAGCTCTTTGTTTCAGGAGAAAGTCTAGCTGAATTGCATCATGGTGCAGCTAATATAATAACAAACAACATTGTTCATATTATTATTTTACTTTTGTTTATTTTTATTAATAACTGTCTGATTAGACTGAGATGAAGAAGAAGAAAATCTTTAAAAATAATTATTACAACAACATCAATTAAACATTATTATTGCTATTAATATTAATATATTATTTATATTTATATTTATATATATATATATATGGTTGGCGTGAAAAATGCTGATGCAATAATAATACTAAAGTGTGTCAGTGTGATGATAACAATAGTGTAAAATATTGTTTGTGTTTTTTTTTTTTTTTTTTTTTTTTTTTTTATTATCAAAATGCTCGAGTGTAAAAGAGACAAATATTAAAAATATTTCAAAATATATGATACGTCCTCGATATAAAATATTAATAATTAATAATTTATACTAAAGCGATAATTTTTGTCGATTTATTGTAAAAATACTAAGTAATTTTGTAAATTAACACTACTCATTGATGAGCAATTACAATAATTGTAATTAGTTGACGAGTAATTATTATATAATTTTATTTTACTCTGAGTTGTATACATATTGTAAATAATTTATAGTTAATAATAATTAATAACGTTAAATGAACGATTAAAATAATTAAAAGATAAATGGTGATAATAGATGATGAAATTGTTCTTATTTGTAATAAATATTAATAAAATAAAAATGAATTTGAAAAAAAAAAATAATGATACTAATAATTATGATATATGGTTTTCCTTATTTATGAAAATATAATAATAATAATAATAATAATAATAATAATAATAATAATAATAATGTATTTATGTATTTTTTTTTTTTTTCATATGATAAACGAAAATGAAAGATGGAAGAGTATGTCGATGAATGATAAATAATATATTTTATGCGTGTTCTGTTCGGGGAATGAATACAGATACGAGCATTAACGATAAAAAAAAATAAAAATTTATACGGAGAAGAAAATTTTTATATTCTAACATAAAAATATTATCAAGACGTGTACGTGGAAATACGGTAATAAAAAGGTAAGACAGTTGGAAAAACGGAAGCTTACAATGTGGAAAATTGATCGAAACTTTGTTACACAAGATTAAAAACTTTTCGACATTAATGTTAAGATATTTTTCATAGTAATAACCGTAAAAATAAAGTATATATCCGTCGAATATGTTTTCCCTCGTTTTAGTTTCCCTCGAGTTGATTAAAAAAAAAAAAGCAAAAATAATTATTTTAATTGAAATTGTATAATAATATATATAATTAAATAAATTTAATATATCATTATTAATAATTATTGGTTTGAGTTTGTAGCAATTGTATTTAATTATCTTCCTCACTGGAGTTATAAATACTTTTTTGTTATAAAATTTTTCCATAAGTAAAATTTACTCAGTATAAATATGCTCTACTAATTTTTAAATGCTTTAAATATTTTTAAGTTATTCGTGAGTTATTATAAATTTCGTTTTTATTATTATCAATGGAAAAGGAGTTTTTAATATTAAAAAACAAAAAAAATTTGACTGCATTATGCAACCGTAGATAAATTTATAAAAGAGCATATATATATGGTTTTTTTTTTTTTTGCCAAGACAACTTGCAAAGACAGTACAGTGCCCCAGAAATGGTTATTACTTTAAAAAAAAAAAAAAAGTTACCCGGCGTAGAATAAAATAATGTGCAGAAAATTTTTTTTTTCTTTCCCTTTCTTTTTTATTTATATCTGCAGTCGCAACCAATTTAAACGAAAAAAATTTTTAATCTCACCTTATTTTCCTTAATATATTTATCATAAAAGCGAAAGAAAAAAAAAATATCGAGAGAGAGTTTTCTTTTATAAACAGAAAGATAAGAAATAATAAATTGTCGGATAAGCTTGTATAGGAAAAGGGACCTTTTTGTTTTTTATAGCAAAAAAGTTTCAACTAAAAATATAAAACAGACATGATTTTTACTATTTAGAAACCTCTTTTATCTGCAAAGGTTGGACATATCAGTTGAGATGTATTCAAATATTTTTTTTTTTCCTTTTTTTAAATATATAAATAAAACTAGTAAAATGTCGATAAAAAAAATTGATAAAAGAGAAAAATCTTAATGACGTAAAAAGAGTAGTAGCAATAGTCATAGAAAAATCGGGAAATAGCAAAATGGTAAAGGTTTTCTCAACCGAATAAAGCAAAATTTAGTTGTATTTTAGATCGTGGCTGAATATAAAGGGCTGACCGAGAAGAAAGCTTTTACAGCGTTTTCTAACCAAAGAATTTTTTTTATTTATTTTTTTTTTTTACCCACTGAAATGAACACACACATTACCTACAGAGAGCTTCAGTGTCAAGACATTTCCGTTATAGTATCCATCAATATTTTTATTTTTATATAAAAGACACGAAGAAAAAAAAATTTTTTTTTTTTTTTTTAAATTTAACCATAAATAATAGAATAAAATAAAAATTTCAACATTCATTTAGTATTTTAATTAGTTTAAAATAAATTGGTGGCGTAACAAGCGAGAGAATAGAAATAAAACGAAATAAAAATCACAGTATTCAATCAATCAAACTTGTCATTGAAATTAAAAAACATAACTCGCGTACGTATAATTCATTTCACAATCCTTGAACCAAAAAACAATCATAATAAATAAATGAAATCGCATAAATATAATTGATAAAATTTTATTAATTTTTCGTTGAGTAATATTTCAATAAAACTTTTTAGCTTTTACAAATCCATAGTAACTACATCAAAATACTTAAATATAAAATTAAATTTAACCAGTTTAGTTGTATATCATTGTTTTAAATTTACAATGGTCATACCAGTCGATAAATGACAACAAAATTCGTAACAAATTACAATAGCCATTTGTCCATATTTCATCCCTAACACATATATATATATATATACATATAGAAGCGTATAAACTATTTTCGAATCAATGAATTCTCTTGTGCTTGTAAAACCAATAAAAATATGAAAAAAAAAAAAGTCAATAAAACTTTTTTTAATTGCATTCCACACTTTAAACGATAAACATTTGTTATATTTTCACAATAAACACGTTCTATCAATAACTTTTGTATAAAAAATAATACAAATAATATCAATATCGAAACAACCACAAATAAAAAAAATAAAAAACGAAAAAAAAAAACCCTTTAATCGTTTGTGTATGCAGATATAATATATATATATATATATAGACATGAATAGGAACAAATATATTTAGAAACAGAGCGATTTGATTTATCACGATAAATTACCAGCAGGCCTTTTGTAATAATAACAGATAGTAAGAGTAGGGTAATATAATAGGGAAAAGCTAAAGGCTGCTCTGGGGCGAGTTATTGTTAATAGTTGTTGAGTTAAGGGTTAACAGGAATTGGTGGATTGGTTATCGTGGTTATAAAATACTACCGCCAGTACCTACAACAATACACTCGATAATTTGATTACGAAATATCATCCAAATTTGTATCTATATCTCTATCTGTATCTGCATCTATATCTCCATTGGTTTATCATTATATAATTAATAATAATAATAATTATTATTATTATCATCATTCGGTAATATTATATATACAAAATTCATTAAAATGTTTTAATTATTGTAGATATATGTATGATAACGTAATTATTATTATTATTATTATATTAGTGAGTAAAAAATTAATAAATAATTACATTTAAATATTTAAATAATATTGTTATTATTATGATAATTAAAAATAAATAACCTAGCTCGCAATAATTATAGGTGGGTGAGATAATCTTGCTCTATATATAGATAAAGATAATGCTGATGGGTGTGTAGTGGTAGGATGATAATTTGATAATAATAATGTGAAAGAAAAAAGATAAAAAGAAATTAAAAAAAAATGCTGATTCATATCAAGTTAATTTCCTGGAGATTAAAATCTCTTTGATTATTTATTATGAATGATATGAAATCCTTTACTCGTAAAGACAGTAGAGACAGCAGTAGCATCATCATAAAATTTAATTTGTACCTTCAAAGATGCGATAATTAATATGCTTTTGGAGTTTTGAAAGTTATATACTATACCGAAAAGTTTACTGCACTTCTATCGCAATTTAAATCCCAACCACCTCAACCACAACTACAACCACTAACCACTAACAAAACTTAACTTACCGCGACTCTTTTTTTTAGACACTGCGATGTGTCTAATACCGCATATACGACATATATTTATTACGCGACTTATTATATAAGAGTTATCACTCTTACTTTGGTAATTATAATCTTGTAATCCGGCGGGTACAACTGTTTTACTCCCGTTATATTAATACTTAATACTTTTAAAAATAATCTATTGATTTAATAATATTAAGACCCGCTGATGATGACGACAAAAACTAAATAATTTTATTATATTATTAAAGTCTAAATAAAAATTTTTATCGTTTAAAATGAAAATAAAAATTTATTTTAGTGTAGATTAACGTTCCGCGGTACTCCGAGCAGTGATCAAAAAGTTAAATCAAAGTGAATAAATTAACTCCGAATCGCAACTGTGTATTTTTTATATTTTATAATGTAAATGTATTTAGAGGCAACTAGAAGGAGAATTGCTGGAAGGAGTAGAATTCCATCTAAATAGAGAGTAGAAACACTCTACCAATTATACATTGCATGCACTAATTGCACGTGCAAGTTATAACGGTACTCTACAATCGTGCCAAAGTTAACTTCCAATGAACAAACCGAACTAGCTGCACGTGTCTGAAATTGTAATGTATATCCCTTTTATCCATAATAATATTATTGACAATAACTATTATTAAGATTTTATTTAAATTAATAAAAATCTAAACGATAACACTCAACATATTTAAAAGTATAACTTGGATTTTTTTACGACCTATCATCGTTAATTATATACTACTTAGTTGTTTTTAACTTAAAAAAAACTTTTAAAATATGTCAACCAGCCTGTTATATATCTAAGTATGTATATATATTTAACCATCCAAAAGTTATAACGTTATCTCTCAATACCACTTTAATACATCTTAGAGTAAACTAAAAAAGTTGTTTATATACGTATTATCATTAT